TGGGAGAAACCCATCCTATTCCGTCCTCTGGACAACAAGAGGCGGATTTAAACACACCCCGCAGCTCTAGACGATTGTTAATCATTTCTTCTGCAAGACAGGAGAGAAATATTGATGGTGAGGGTTCATCTATCCGAGGGGGAGAGAAAACATTGATTCCTCCAAAAAAGAGATTTGGGGATGCTGGTGCCAGGAGTTCAGGTACTTCAAAAAAGAGGGCTTCCCTTGTAGGGCCCTTTGAATGCGTTTTGTGTCAAAAAAAATTCGACACTGAAAAAGGTCTCGGTGGTCACATGCAGTCTCACCCTGAGCGAACTTGGCGTGAGGCTTATCCTCTACCGAAATTTAGTTCGGACGAGGTTGACAAAGATACGGCAAATGTTATACAAAACAAATTTAACACAAAAAAAGGTTTAGGTGGTACTCACATGCAGTCACACCCTAAGCGCACTTCGCACGGGGCGTCTCCTCCTCCGAAATTTAGTTCTGAGGAGGTTGACAAAGACATGGAAAATGTAATACAACGGTTAATTAGCCAAGGCGTTGTTGCTGCTTCGCCGGAGCAGAATGTGACTTCAGAAAGGCAGCCATTTGACCTCAACGAACCGGCGATCGGGGAAGACCCCGATGATTCACAAGGGACCGAACACCCGTCTCCTAGGAGAAAGGATGGAAAAAGCTTTGATTTAAACAAAGAACCATCTAACAGTCCTCCCTGATTGACAGGGGATGTAGTTAACTGTATATGATATTAAATTTGATAAATATGATATTTTGTACCTGTAATTCTTTCTTTTTTGTTCGAGAAATATTAGAAACTCCAAATAGTTCTAGAATTTATGTTTTATGGTGTATGTACAGATGTGAAGTCATTGCTTTTGGTTTAATACACACAAAGGCTATCTCATCATATCAAATATAAGTTAAACAAACATATTTTTGTTTATATGAATGTTCTCATATTTTTATGTAAGTAGAACAAGTTTACTTTCTTTTTGGGCATAAACGTGTATGTATATATTTATGGGTACATGTATGAATTGTTCATCTAGTGTCATAAATGTGTATGTATATATCTCTTTTTATTGTTCTGATAAAAAAATAAAAAATAAATACACTCCAACCATTTTTTTAAATTAAATTTCTCTCAAATATTTAATAAAATGTTATAGCTTAGAAACTGAATTTTCTGATCCATAGCAGAGATTTTCATATCCATAAGTCAAACTTTATAAACTCAGTATTGAAAATACATTTTATTATTTTTATATCGCACATCTGACTGACTTAAATGATACGTGTGTTGTAAGGCCGATACACGTGCTTTAAGAAAAAAAAATATTAAAAATACATTTTATTATTTTTTATATAGCATTTTCTTTTACATATTTAAATTGGGTAGAGATTATTATTATTATTATTTATTTACTTATGTTTTGCATGTTCCGGCCTGGCTGGAGTTGAACAAAATATATATATATATATACACACACACGTAATATTGCATATTGCACTTATATGTAACACATGTAACCATTCCAGTACGTTCTTGCTTTTTTATTTATGGACAACTATATAATACCGTTATAAATCAAGTAGTCCAGGTGTTATATGTAAAATTGTAAATTGACCGATTACACATATAAAAAAATATAATAATTTTTTTAAATGATACTCATTTAAAGATAGTCATTATGATTTTATTCTTTTTTTCCTTTTATGTTTCATAATCATGGATGACATTACATGCCAAAAGTGGGGTGTGGGTGTCTTCCCTACATCACATGCCAAAAAATTATGAATATTTACATAAAATGTACATATAGATATAGTTATATATCTATCCATGGACCATTAATTGTATGATATGATTTTATCTCTAACGGTCACATGTCAAAAAATTTATACTCGGCTCATATTAAAAATATACTCCCTCAATCCTATATTAAAAGTTCACTTTGAAAATTGTGAGCCCTCACAGTTTCTAAAGTGAACTTTTAATATGGAATAGATAGAATATAATACAGTTCTGGAAGTGGACTTTTAATATAGGACAGAGGCGGTATATATATATATATATATATATATATAAACACACACTGCATACATAAATCATACTCCAGGTGAGTCCAATGCCCATTATTTGGAGGTTTAACAGTGGCCCACAAGGGAATGGGCCGATTGAGTGGACTTAGTCTAGGGGTAAGGCCCATAAAAATGAATGATCCAAAATAAAGTGAAGTTGTCCAATTATAGAACTACAGTACGGAGTATGAAATTATTACAGTAGATTACAATTAGGGTCAATTCCTTGTAATTATTTTATAAATTAAAGATACTGATATGTTTAATTCAAAGAGACAACTTGTAAAACTGCAAAAGTTTTTTTTTTTTTTTTTCTTCCTTAATCCTTAAAATAATACAATTATTTGTAATCAAATCTCATGTGCACCTAGTAGCAACAGTTTTCGAACTCTAATTTAAATTATACATTTTAAGTGTTAACATGAATCATATTATCACGTTATTCATACTACAAGGTGAGACATGTCATTGACATTGTTATCTTTCAAATAATTATATTTTGAAATACTTCCTCTATCTTTTTATAACTTTGCTCATTCACAAATATTTTGAGTATGATACATGAATTGTGAATATAGAACCCGACTTTTGGTGTACAAAATAATTAAGATCAATTTACATGTTATTGTATCGATTAACTACAGAAAAATATGCACAGTTCCGCAAGGCAGACTATCACATTTATTTTAATAATACAATATTAGATTTTTTGATTAAAAAAAAGCAAACTTAAAATATTTGTGACCTAAGTCACACAGAATAAGTATGAGCGAGATCGTAAAAGCGACAAAATATAAATCATGCTAAGTGAGAAATAAAACGAGAGCCTGCACAAAGAGAGACACACTGGAACTTAAAACCAGGACCCCTTAAAAACATTGTGTGGCTTAGCTTGAGACTCATTATTATAATAACCACATACTACAATTATTTATACAAAACATCAAAAACAAAGAACAATTTATTTGGTGTGTACTTATCTGTCAGTCATTTATTACTTATGTTTTGATGTTCTGGTCTGGCTGGAGTTGAACAATATATACGCACATAATATTGCATATTGCACTTATATATAACACATTTATGATGTAACCATTCCAAGTAGGTTCTTGCTTTTTTATTTATAACTATACAATACCGTTATAAATCAATTAGTCTAGGGGGTTAAATGTAAAATTGTAAATTGACCGACTACATATATAAATAAATATAATAAAATTTTAAAATAATACTCATTTAACGATAGTCATTATGATTTTATATTTTTTTTCCTTTTATGTTGCATAATCATGGATGGCATTACAGATTACATGCCAAAAGTGGGGTGTGGGTGGCCTTCCTTACAACGCATGCCAAAGAATTATTACATTTGTCTTGTATTAAAAGTCTATCTCAGGAATTTTGACTCATTTTTTGAGTCACAGTTTTCGAGATAGACTTTTAATACTATGAAAGTCACAGTTTTCAAGGTAGACATTTAATATGAAAAGAAGGAGAACCGTGGATTATATAGTCTTCACACACACACATCCAATGTCCATTCTTTGGAGGTTTAACGGTGGCCCGCAAGAGAATGGGCTACTTGAGTGGACACACACACACACCACTCCAAAAGTGGCATCAACATGGGGATAGTGTGTCCAATGTCCATTCTTTGGAGGTTTAACGGTGGCCCGCAAGAGAATGGGCTACTTGAGTGGACTTAATCTAGTGGTAAGGCCCATTAAAAAAATGAATGATCCAAAATAAAGTGAAGTTGTCCAATTGTAGAACTACGGAATGAAATTAATACAGTAGATTACAATTAGGGTCAATTCACTGTAATTATTTTTTAGATTAAAGATACTAATATGTTTAATTCAAAGAGACAACTTGTAAAACTGCAATTTTTTTTTCCCATTAATCCTTAAAATAATACAATTATTTGTAATCAAATCTCACGTCAGCAAATAACGAACTCTCATTTAAATTATATATTTTGAGTGTTATCACGAGTCACGTAATCACGTTATTCGCGCTAAAATAGTCAGACATGTCATTGACGTTGTTATCTTTCAAATAATTATATTTTGAAATAGTTCATCTATCTTTTTATAACTTTTCTCATTCACAATTTTTTTGAGTATAACACATGAATTGTGAATATAGAACCCTACGTTTGGTGTACTGAACAATTAAGATCAATTTACTTGTTATTGTATCGGTTTACTATAGAAAAATGTGCATAGTTCACAAGGCAGACCATCACATTTATCTCAATAATACAACATTAGAGTTTTTGATTGGTCGGTATTCAGTAATTGCTACCCTAAGTAATAATAATAATAAAAAAAAACCTAACCTAAAATATCTGTGACCTAAGTCATACAGTGTTGGTGTGAGTGAGATCGTGGAAGCTACAAAATATAAATCATGGTAAGTGAGAATCAAAGCGAGAGCCTGCACTAGGAGAGACACTCGAATTTGAAAACATGACCCCTTAAAAAAATTGTGTAGCTTCGTGTTTGAAATATATTATGATATTATTTTTTTGATATTGGTTTTTAAATTTGGATCCATATGATATTTGAAACAATTGATATAAATTTGGAATAATTCATAACATATTAGATTTTTTGGTTTAAACTTATATCTTCAAATTGGTGATATTGTGTGTTTTGATACTATAATGCACGAATTAACACAAATTTATGAATTTTTTAAAATAAATTTTCGTTATCAAATAGGGTTCTAATTTTTACTCTAAGTACTTCGATAACAAAACGTTATTTTGATATTGACCAAAAAAATATTACGCCTAAATCGTATCCCATGCCCAACGGCCCTTAACTAGTCTCATGATTATAATAACCACATGCTACAATTATTTATACAAAACATCAAGAACAAAGAACAAAGATCAAAGAACAATTTATTTGGTGTGTGCTTATCTGTCAGACAGGCGTAATTCCTTACGATGGAGTCCTTTACAGGTACGAGATCTACGCAAGACGTCCGGTTTTCAGTTAAAAGGCCCAAACAGAACAAAAACCCAAATCGTTGTTTTGACTGTTTCCATTTCCATTCCCTCCTCGGTTTATGCGTTCCATCAAACGCGCAAACAAACACTCCCTCTCTTGTTCTGACTTCGTCACCATCACAAACCTTCGCTTAGGGCTAATCCTCTCTCTCTCTCTCTCTCTCTGCAATCTGGATCTCACACAGGTAACCTCTTACATCTTCTTCTTTTGTATGTATAATTATATATATATGCATATATGTTTTGTATCTATGTGTCAGTGGAACATAATAAAGCGGAATGGTACTACTCACTAATCATAGAGATTTGAATTTCGTATGAATTAGGTTAAATTGATATTAGTGACTCCTGTTTTACTATTTTGTGTTTTTTTATATTGGAGTAACTATCATCTTAAATTGTGCTTGTTATTGTTTGCAAGATTTGAATTTTGTACAAATTAGGTAGAAATGGAGATTAGTGACTTATATTTTGCTATTTTATGTTTTGTTTGTAGTTTTGAGTAACACTCATCTTCAATTGTGTTTGTTATTGCTTGCGGGATTTGAATTTTGTACAAATATATGTGTATGTTTTGTATCTATGTGTCTGTGGAACATCTCTCTACAATGCTTCTTGGGTGAGAAGCGGAATGGTCCTCACTTATGATACAGATTTGAATTTTGTATGAATTAGGTTGAAATTGATATTAGTGATTTTTATTTTACTATTTTGTGTTCTTTTTTTTTGGATTGGAGTGACTATCATCTTCACTTGTGTTTGTTATTGTTTGTTTATAGTGATTGAATCCAAATTATGATGGAGAATTATATATATATATATATATATATATATATATATATATATGCATATATGTTTTGTATCTATGTGTCTATGGAACATGATAACATCTTTCTACAATGCTTTCTTAGGCGAAGAGCTGAATGGTGCTCACTGATCATAGAGATTTGAATTTTGTATTTTTTAGGTTAAGTTGATATCAGTGACTACTATTTTATTATTTTGTGTTTTTTTGTGCTGGAGTGATTACCATCTTCAATTGTGTTTGTTATTGTTTGTTTTTAGTGATTGAATCCAAATTATGATGGAGAAGGCTGATCCTGCACAGAAGCTATACACGCGAATGCGTCTCTGGGAGTTTCCAGATCAGTATGTTGTTGAGCCCACTGATGGTTCTGCTGGTTCCTGTGTGGCAATTAGTCGGGTTGATGGATCAATGAGTCTTATTGGTTGGCAGCTTTGTCTTTTTACTTGTTTGACACGGTTTTGCATTGTGGATTTGAGTTTCATTTTGTATAAGGCTGATGTTTTACACATTATTTTCTGTTCTTTAGATGACATTCCACAATGCAGCTCTCTTCGGGTTCCGAAAATTCGGACAATCTTTGGTGTAGTTGGGATGTTAAAGCTCTTGGCAGGCAAGATTATCTTATTATGCACCTAAAATATCATGTGTTAATGATGTCATCCATAACTTAGAGTTTTGGTGTCATTGTTCAAATTTGTATATGACAGACATTCAAGTGTGTGAACATAATGTCATTAAGTTAAAACTTCAATACCGTTCAGTTACTTAGCAGTTATTGGTAAATGCACATAGCAATTTAAATATGGAGCTCAGAAAGACGATAGTTCAATAACAGCTGGTTTTCATTTGGTGGTATGTTTTTTCAGTATGGATTCCACGTGATGATAAATTATAGCAATATCAGAGTAAGAGTCTAAAGATGATGGTGGTACTCTATTGAGTTGATAACTGACTAATTAGATAACATGATGTATCTTATTCTGGGTAAACGACTAAATGAGTGCCAGAATAGTAAGTTACTTATTGAAGACTATTGTGGTAGTTACTTTATTATGCTCCAATAGGATCATGGTCTTTGTAAACTATTGGATAATATATTAGGCCCTTCAGCTAGTATATTCTATTCTTGACAGATGTATTAAAAGATGTATTAAACTTCTCATTTTGGTTCACTTATTAAACTGCTTGTTGTTGCTCATACACCATTTGAGTCTTTTTGTTTTTTAAAATTAATTCAATGCTGCCAACATTAATCCATGCACCAAAATATTGATTGAGGTTTACAACAGCTGCTAGCATTATGTGATCTCCAACTTATTTCATACTGGCAGAATTTCCAGTGAATGTACTCTAGTGTCATTAATAAAACTTCCAGTCAAATTAATGAGCTAAGACCTTGACTAAAGGATGATCTCTGATGATATGAAGCTGTCTTACAATCATCTGCACATATACAAGTATATGAGATTGTCCACAACTCCTCCTCTATCAACCCCTTCAGGGGAAAAAAAATGTATACATATATGTGTGTATATAATTAAAAAAAATATGGGATGAAAATGCAGAAAAGGAAAAAAAGGGAAAGGAAACATGACCAGCCAAGGCAGGCACATATGATGTATTATGAATTGCCTGTATATGCACTTATCAAAAAAAAAAAAAATGAATTGCCTGTATATGCGGGTCAAGTCATTTTGAATACCCCTAGAGTTTATAAAACTGAATTTCATATATATAATATCCTGTAGTTCTATTCACCACTTGGGTTGCAATTTATCTAATAGCTTTGATGTTATTATACTTTTGTTATGCTTTTAGGGTCATATTTACTAGTTATAACAGAACGTGAATGTGTTGGATCTTACCTTGGGCATCCGATCTTCAAAGTTTCATCATTGAAGTTCTTTCCCTGTGATCACTCTCTTAAAAATTCCCCTGAAGAACAGGTAAATCTGCTACATTTTTTATGTCTATTTTTGTAGACTGGTGATTGTTGTGTTTGAACTCAGTAATATTTACCATTTTTGGCAGAAAAAGATGGAGACTGAGTTTTCTGGGCTGCTAAATATTGCAGAGAGGACTCCTGGTCTGTATTTCTCATATGACGTCAATTTAACACTGAGGTGAATTTTATTTATTTTTCTTGCCCCCCAGTTTTAGTGTGTGCCCATTTTGTTGTCACTTGAGGTTACTTTGGGAGAACTGGCTGCGTACTTCAGTAGGCATTGTTGCAGGTGGCTGATTTTATATAGGTAGAAGGAGCATATTTTGCAAAATTACAGTATTCTATCCTGTTGGTTGAACCGGTTTTGTCCAGATTTTCAATGCTATTCCCAGACCAAATATCAATATAAGATTGAAAAGGAAAAAGGGGCTAAATTAATTGGTTGAATGGTTAATTTATTTACCTGCCTGAACCAAATGTTTTTTCTTTTTCAAAGCATTACATGAACATCAGAAGTTGAAAATAGAATGTTTTAACCGAATTGATAGCATAAAAAATATAAATTACTAATGTCAATCTCTTTTTACCACATGGATGTAACTTGGATAGAATTTTGTTCATGTTGTTCACTTTCTTTTAAGCATTTTTAATTTCAGTTATTTCACTTTCAAAAAGCTCAAGAAGACAAGTGTGAAGATACTGTTTCAAGTACAAGTGCAATCCCTTTGTGTAAATAATGATAGAGGTTAGGTCCGTGTTGCATCATAGCCGCATGTGCAATAGGCCCAATGTTAGAGGTGTCCCACATTGGATCCGGATAGGAAGTGAAATGTTAAGATTTTGGGTTGGACCGCGAAGCACCCGACCCGTCATAGTTGGTATCAGAGCTAGACCAGTCCTTGATCTGGTGCCACGCCAAGTGCCTGGCTTGGAGGTGTCTGTGTGTGCTGCCCTGGGTAGGCAAGGTGGCCCGACCGCAATGAGAGTGTTGCGATTTCGGTGGGGGAGAATGTTAGAGGTGTCCCACATCGGATCCGGATGGGAAGTGAAATGAGTATAAATGGGTTGGGTGTTAGCACCACGTAATAGCTTAAGCTTTTGGGTCGGATTGCGAAACTCCCAGCCTATTACACCTTGCCACTTAATCCAGGTTGAATCTGCCTGATCACTTGACCAGACTACTGGGTGGAATGTTTCAAAAAAAAAAAAAATTAAAACAAAAAATGTCTAAGCTGAGTCATTATGTGCCTTTAAAAATAATCAAGAAAAGCAGACTTAAAGTCTTCACCCCTACCCAGTTCTATGGTTTGACTGGATTAGGCGCGGATCCAGTTCACTAGCCTTTTCAGTTTGCCTTTGATAATACTAGATTTATGTGTGAAGGTTTGGGATCATCTGTAGTTGGCAATGAGGGGATTGCATGGTAAGTGTTGCACTGTTGTACCATGTATCCTATGATGATAATTCTTTTTTCTTTTTCAGTTGAATTTGATTAGGGTTTCACTAGATTAGGTAATTATTGTTAGAAATTTAAATATCCTTTTTCATTCATCTTCGAACTCTAGCAAAACCCATAGAATGTATCTTTTTCATTTATCTGCATTTTAAGTTTTTAACTATTTGTAATTTTGTATATTTAAAAATGATGAGATGCGGAATTCCACAAAGATGATTTAGGTTAGTGACTGCTTATAAGACGTCATTCTATTGTCCGGTGATTGGAAAAGAAAAAATAAAAGAAGAAAAGAACTTTATAAGTTAATCAGACAGTATTGTGGCAACATTTTGTTTAGGTCTGAAACTGAGGAGGTGAGTACCATGACCTGAAAACTATCATCTATCCTTAGTGCAAAAACCTTGCTAGTTTTCTATTTTCCATTTACTTGTAGAAACTATGATTTGAAATGCTTGTAAATTTGACGATTTGAGTCTCAATAGGGATAAAGTGGGTGTGTGGGTGCCTTGTCAAAAAGATTTTTATTTAAAATCTTTTTAATACAATTTGGTCTAATATGGTGATATTGCTTATGTACCATATGGTGTGTCTTGCAGTGCACAACGGTTGCATGATTTGGGAGATGAATCAAAGTTGCTTCCTCTTTGGAGACAGGTAGCCTTTCTTGATATCTAACATAATTAATTATTTCACATTGAAATTATCTTTAAGATGTACCCCCCAGAAAAATTTGTTGGCTTCTCAACTGATTTAACTGTCTTTTTTGGAATTTATGTACAAATAATTGTTTTGATTTCCGAATCTTTATGTTTGTGGCATTCGTTCTTCACGTTGTTATGTCATCATGGATGTGAAATGTCTTTGCCACAGGCAGACCCAAGGTTTTTCTGGAACAACTATATGTTGGAAGTGCTTATAGATAATAAGGTCAGATTGTTGCCAAAATCGTAATTATCTTACATGTTCCATTTTCTTATTAACTTATATTACATTTGTAGCTTGCTGACTATAATTTCCTGTCTGTGCAGTTAGATCCATACTTACTTCCTGTTATCCAAGGGAATATCCTTAACTTGTTACTCGGCTATTGATATTTTTGCATAGATCTTGATCTTTGACATTTGCTAATCTAGTTCAGCTCATGAATAATGAGGATTGATGCTATCTTTCTTTCCATTTTAAGTTACACCTTAACTTACTATCACGTTTTCAGAATTTTCAAGCAGCCATTGGAAAAGATATTATTGATGTTACTCTGATTGCACGGAGATGTACTAGGAGAACTGGTATTTAAAACCTTTACTGCTTCTTCTTCTTTTTCATTTATTTATTTTCCTGTCAAAACTAGTTTCCGTATCATGTTTCTATGGGAGGGTATAAATGCAAGTGTTTTATTTTATTATTATTATTTTTTCCTAGTTGGGACACACACACTGCCTCCACTAAGGTTCGAATCCCTGACCTCCCTTTGGGAAGTAGGAGCCTTGTACCGCTAGGCCACAGGTCTGTTGGTAGTGTTTTATTTTTATTTTGGGTATAATAAACATTTTTTAAAGAGACAAAAGGTTAAGAAGGTAGAAAAAATAAAAAGATTTCTTTACGATAGATTACATAATTTATATGTTAACAACCGAAAGGTTTACAACTCTACTAAGTACGGCAAGCAAGAGAATGTAATCCGTTATGGCTCTAAATTACCAGAAAACTGTTTCCATTTGCACAGTAGCCGGTTTATCTGCTCCTGAATTTCACATGTAGGCATGCAAATAGGAAGCATTCCAACGTCCTCGATCAGTCTAATGATCCATTATGGTATTTAATTATCCACAATGACATCTTTCACTTTCTTTAATCCTTTACATTGATACACATTATTATATTCCACAATAAAATTATGTATCCCTAAACTAGAGCTTTCAAAGCCATTGTGTTTCAGATCTGTCACTAGACCTCTAACACCACCTTTGATCCCTTGAATATTTCATTACTTGATTGTATTATGTGCTTCAAATGGATACTGATGTTGCCAGCACTGAATCCACACAGAGGGCTGCATGTTTTGCCATTTTTAGCATTGAACCTATATAGATGGTTGTGTTGGATTATTTTGGCAGTCATCTTACAGTTTTTTCTTATTCATGGATCTTACTTGTTGCAAGCTTATGACATGGGATGCCATTTTCGTAGATATGGTTTGATTGTATCATTGATGGAGAAATGACATATCTTTGGCAGTCAAGTTAAATGATTTTCAGTATGCAGTACAATATTTGGTCTAGTTGTCTATATTATTTTTTCTTGAAGGCACTCGGATGTGGAGAAGAGGAGCTGATTCTGATGGGTATGTCGCAAATTTTGTTGAAAGTGAACAAATCATGCAGTTGAATGGACATACTGCATCATTTGTGCAGGTAACGTTTTATATAGTTTATACTGCCATTTTTTTTAGAAGCATAAAACATGATAAAACTGCCCTATAAAGATTCTTTTTTGTTATTCAGACATGTTGCATCTTTGAATTGAAATATTTTGGATAAAGAAATAATAAAATTAGTCTGTCCCCACCCAGTGGGAGGGGAGGATTGGAGATTAAATTAACCTTTCGCATTAACAATAGTGGATAAAGCATACCGGACAAATAAGTGTTGTACTGATGTAAGTAATAGTATTGGCTTATTGATTGCAAAATCAGCAAAAATAACTGGACTTTGTGCTGTAATTGCCTAATTTTTCTTGGTTTATATATTCAATCATGTAAAATTGATTACTCATTCAATTTGCACATTTGACCATTGATTTAGAAAAGAAGACGTTTGCTGATAAAATATGAGTTTGCAGTCTCATGCTGCATGCTCTAACTTGATTAAAGGTCTTTCCCACAACTGCCTAAACTGTTATTCACGGGTCTAGAGAGTTCATTAAGTTACTTTTCCTTTTGCTTAAAATTAGAAGGCTCTAGAATTTGCATTTATTCTCACTTCATTCTTCCAGACGTGAGGAGCCTATAGGCTGCTTTGCACATGATGTGATTGTGGAGAAACCATAGCGCCCAATGAATTGAGAATAAGCAAGATGATAATTAGATAATTATCCAATTCTAAAGTTCTATGCATATGATGTGTTTGTGAACTCCTATTCCCTTACTAGGAGATGATCACTTAAGAGTATCTGTCTGACATTATCTTCCCCAGATAATTCAACTTTTGCAGAAAAAAAGATTCCAGCTTGAACTTTCTGTTTCTCCTCTAAATTCGTGAAGCTCAAATGTCAAGAGCCTCCTCCATGAATGTTGAACGACAGATTCTTATGATAGTTTTTGATAGACCTTTTACTGAAAAAAGTTTTAGCAGCTAATGTGGATTCCACTTTGCATAATGATCGTATCCCATTTGTGGCATGTGGCTCATTTTTAGTTTGGCATTTGCAGGTTCGAGGGTCAATTCCATTAGTTTGGGACCAAATTGTTGATTTGACATATAAGCCTAAGTTTGAAGTTATGAGACATGAAGAAGCAGTGAGTGCCTTTTTAAAAAAAAAAGTGCCTTTATTGTACTTTTTTTTTTCTTTCTTGTGCGTTTGTCTCTTAATTGATTGGTGCTGTATGCAACACTTCCTGCAGCCTCGAGTAGCTGAGCGACATTTTCTAGATTTAAGAAAAAAGTGGGGAAATGTCTTAGCTGTTGATCTTGTCAACCAGGTACTCTTTTTTTTTTCCTCATCTTACAAACTTTGGTGGAATATATTATTGATCTCATGGTTTCTCATTTGTGCATGATGACAATTGAGTTTACAACCAGTTGGCAGAGTTTACATGCATGTATACACTTCCAAGTTATGAGCAGAATCTTGACAATGATACTGATGGATGTTTCAGTATCATTGATATCTATTTGATATGTCACAGATATTTCCCTTTTTATGTTGATGTTGAATATTTGTTGATATGTATGGTTCTGGTTTTAACTTTTAAGTACAATAAAGTTAAAGGGAAGAGTTGAAAAGGATATGAATCAAGGCTTAGGAAAATGAACTTTGTCCACGAAGAGGAGTGTCAGTCTATAGACACCTTTAGAGTTATTGGGCAATATGTGATTCTTTTATATCTTTCTGGTTTTGCCGCTTCTTTTGTTGCTTCGCATCTATAAGGGCTACGTCACCTGTTTCAGCGCCTTTCAGTGACACTTACAAAAAGGAAAAAAAATAAAAAATAAAAAAAATTCTGGAGTGTGTTGTGCTTTGCACGCATTTAGGTGGTTTTCGGTTGTGGGAATTAAAAGGTGTAGCAGTGTGTGGGTGTATCATCTGCTTGACTTATATTTGCTATTCATTTCTTCACCAGCATGGAGGTGAGGGACACTTAAGTGAAAAATATTCCAATGCCGTGCAGCCTATTGTTGGTGATGATCTGAGGTAGGATCTCCTTCATATTGACTCGTTTTATCGACTCTTTTTTTTTTTTTTTTCTTAGTTGGTACTCATACACACATGCCTCCACTAAGGCTTGAACCCTGACCTCCCTTTGAGAAGTAAGGGCCTGATACCGCTAGACCACTGCCTGTTGGTTTTAACTCATTTTATCAACTATATTTTATTTTTTCCATTTTATGCTAATAACTACTCGTTTTTGTAGATATTTGCACTTTGATTTTCACCGGATTTGTGGACATATACATTTCGAGAACCTCTCAATCCTTTATGATCAAATTGAGGATTTCATCGTCAAAAATAGGTATGGTTTCTTTTCAAATGGCATCATGTTTAAAAGTTTGGCTAATATAATGGTGCTTGAAGATTTTTTATAAACATGAACACAGTTTTAGCGCATAAGAATGGAACAATATATAGATATATAGTACGGAGCTGTAATTTTGTTTTATTTCTGTAATAAACAGTTAATAAAATTTGTTAGACATTTATACCCCTTGGTTAGCTTGTGTTGCACCTTGCTAGAATTGAAAAAATATAATTATGTATCTTGATATATTCTGTAAATGGGCCATTACTTGGTGTAACAATAAAATCTTGAATTAACAAGTATGAGGACGTTGATTCACGTTTGAGAGAAGCCATTTTGTGTAAAATGATGCCAAAGGCCAGGTATGCCTCTAGGTATACCTCTAGTCTTCCCACCCAGCACTTCACGTAGGTGAGACATGCATAGATTAGTGCTTCTTGAGCTTGGAGCACAAGAGAGAACATAAGAACAATCATTTTTGTGAAAAAACTAACGTTTGTAGTTAAACCCCTTCGTTTGGCACATCAGAAGCAAATCACATCACAAATATGGAGATCCAATCACAAAACAAACAACATGCAACACAATATTTAATGTGGTTTAGCCGAATCAAGAAGAGAATATACAACGGTAGAGAATGCCCAACCCATTTATTTTGCAGCTTTTTCCTCTCACTGACTCTCTTCTCTTCCCTACCTTCTCCACCAGCTCTACCTCTATTTATAGAGTTTCTTGTTGGACAAGGATTACAATTCTGTAGAGGCCAAGACTTACCTAACAAGAAATTCCTTAGAGCCCAGGATAAGGAATTCCTTAGAGCCTAAGATAAGAAATTCCTTAAAGGCCAAGACTTGCCAAACAAGAATTACCATACAAAATACTGTGAGTTACGCTGTGCGGAAGCTGTTAGTTGATTTAATTGTGATTAAATCCTTGAATGACCTAGATGAGATTATTAGGTCGCCCAATTTTTGTGATTGATTAATTCACCTAAGCAATATGATCAATTAAACATCCACAATCACAAAGATAAATACTGAAAGTAAAGCAAGTAAAATTTGAGAGATGACACCAGAATTTTTAGTGAGGAAACCCCAGTTGGCAGAAGAGACCAATTGTTGTGGGAAAAACCTAGTGGACTGTGCAGTCCAGAACAAAACGATCCACTATATTTGAAACAAAGTACAATGGACTTTGACTCATGCTCACACCCTAACGTTCTACCAAAAACCAATTGCTGACAATCTCCGGCTTTGCGACGTCCCGTCCAACAGCCCTCGACTCTAGGCTTACTCTTGATCTCTGTAGAAGGATTTCTGGTAGATCAAACAACACTCCTCGAATGTTTTAAACCTTTCAAAGTGTGATTGCTTCACCCCTTTTCTTCAATATCTGAATTTGATGTAGAAGAAATAGATCTGCTTTTTGGAATCTCTGAATCTTCAATTATGCTCCAAATCCGATGAGATAATGAACAACACAACTAAATCACTCATGTATATATGTGTGTGTTCTCAAAATAAAAACAGAAAAATCAGATTTGATTTTCTGAACAATATCTCTCAAAAGGCTTTCTCAAAATAATGAATTCTCGTTCCTAAAAGCCATACGTCAATGTTGAATGAAAGAGAGACTATAAAGAAGTTTGGAATACCTAAGAATACTTGGAAACCAAGTCAAATTCGTGCATAGGATTTTGGAAGGAAGTCTTAAACCAAATAGGAATCAAAACAGACCAGGATGGTAAGTTACCAAAACAAATAAGAAGACCTTGAACCGGTTCAGGGTGGTTGAACCGGTTCAAGTTGGCCAGTAAGTTTTCGAAGAAAACAATCTAAACTTTTTGTGACACTTGAACCTGTTCAGGGTGGTTGAACCAGTTCAAGTTGGCCAAACTTGAATTCAACCAAAAACCCTCAAAAGCTAAACCTGTTCCAAAATTCTTGAACCTTTCTAAAGTATTGTTCTCATCATCCCGGAGTGTATTAAAGCATGAAACTTGAACTTCTTCAAATTCGCTTCCGATTTTCAATCTTCAATCCGATTTCAATTCTGAACCGAAATTTTATGACTCGATCGGACTTGTTTTGACATCGAAATTAGCCAATTACAAAATATATATCTCACAAATACGACTCAAAAAAGGAAACCTAATTATTGATATAATTTGAGACCCAAATCCTAAAAGTAATGTTGGGATTTAAACCCCTTCGTTCGGCACAACGGAAGCAAATCACATCACAAAGATAGAGATCCAATCACAAAACAAGCAAACAACATGCAACACAAAAACACAATATTTAACGTGGTTCGGTCGAGCTCAATCAACAGAGAGAAGAAATTCAACTATAATGAATCAAGAAAAGACGATACAATGGTAGAGAATGCCCACCCATTTATTTTTCATCTCTCTACTCTCACCTACTCTCCTCTTCTTAGTCACTCACTCACTCACTCACTCCTCCATTTTTTCCTTCTCTTCTTCTACACCTTCTCCACCCAACTCCACCTCTATTTATAGAAGTCCAAACTCAATTCCTTGTTGGACAAGGATTACAATTCATTAGAGGCCAAGACTTGCCTAACAAGAAATTCCTTAGAGCCCAAGACAAGAAATTTCTTAAAGGCTAAGACTTGCCAAACAAGAATTTTTTTTTTCCTAGTTGGTACTCACACACACATGCCTCCACCGAGGCTCGAACCCCTAATCTCTCTTTAAGATGTAGGGGCTTCGTACCGCTAGGCCACTGGCCTGTTGGTGTCAAACAAGAAATTACCATACAAAATACGACTCCAAAAAGGGAAACCTAATTATTAATAGAATTTTAGACACAAATCTTAATAGTTATCAATACGATTCTTACTCTTACAATAAGAAGATAGTATCGTGTTTGCATATAGGGTTATTTATGGTGGGGTTTTGAGATTCATGCTCAAGTCACTAGGGTGGATAATGTCCATCTTTATTATATGGAGAATGGATAGGAAAATAATGGAACAGGTGTTATAGAAAGCAAAACTGGCCACTTCATAAAGTCAAAACCATGAAAGATTAATTCATTTAGCCAAACTTTGAAAAGGGCCGGGATCCTCTCACCCCTATGTTTTGTGGATTTGATAGAATTTGTAACAACCCTTACCCTACCCAGACACAATATTGTCCGCTCTTGGCTCCCCCGAACCAGAGACTTCCCAGGGGGTCACCTATCTTGGTACTACTCCAGAGTAAGTACGCTTAACTTTGGAGTTCTGATGGGCTCACGGCCATCATGACTTTAAAACGCGTTGTGTCATAGAAGGGTATTGAATCTTACATAATGCACTTCACCTCCCTCAGGCGATGTAGGATCATGACACCCTGTAGCCTGCCAGTGTGGTAGCTCGTCCAGTATCTCGCACCCACCCACATCACACTCACCCATAGAGGTCATCACAATCACCCCCCGTGGGGGCCTAACGTCCTCATTGCCCACAAGTCCACGGCTACAATTTTTTCTGATACCTTCAAGCTTAAAAAGGGTATCAGGGATACTTTAGCTATGAGAGCATAACTAATAATCTTGCACACAAGAAACTCCATTTTCAAATGTTCCCCTACTCACTCTCTATTTCTCAAATAAAGTTAATTTTATAAAAGATTGATACCTGATAAACTTTAGATGGGACACTTCATATATTTCCAAGTCTAACTGCTATAATCATCATTAAGAAATTCATTCCGAAATGGGTAGTTAATAATCCCTTTCTTGATTTAAGTTGATTTTTTGGAATGGTAGGTATCTTCTGTTAAATGAAAAAGGTGAGAAAGTTGAGGGGCAACTTGGAGTTGTAAGGACCAATTGTATTGATTGCTTAGACCGTACAAATGTTACCCAGGTATGTGAACTTAAATCAGAGTGATATTGTTTCATCTATTTTTTATTGTGTTGTAATAGATGATAGCCGATATGTTGTTTCTGGATTACTGTCTTTCTGAGGTTCACATTGTTGGATTGCAGATTTTTTTTTTAATTTTTTTTGTTTCTTTTTTCTTTTTGCCATCTTTAAATTATGAAACCCATAAAACTCACATAAAAAATACCATTTCCGTCATCGCTATAGTTTCTTTAATTGTGGCTCTTCGGGTTCATCTGAAAAATTCACCACTATCGTTTCTTTAATTGTTGCTCTTAGGGTTCGTCTGAGAAATTCCAAAGTTTTGACTGGAATATTAATAAAGATATGAATATATATTAGTATAATGTTTTGAATTTAACGTAATTGTCAGTGGAAATGGTTGGAGTCCTGATCTTGTTCGAAACTGCAAAGCCAAGCCATTTGTTTTTCCTCTTCTGTTATCATATCTCTCTCTACAAGTATAGTTTTCTTTTGGATACTGTCATCACAGGCAATGTTTTTGCTCTCACGGAATTGAATTTACATTATTTTCCATTAATTCAATGTTCTTTTCTTGTTATGTGTCAATCAGTGAAGGGCTATTTGGTAGCATTTGTATCTTTTGGCTTCCCTTCATTATGCTTCCGTTGTTAGTTTTTCTCCGGCAGCTGAAGCATATGATGCATGTGTGTATGTATTTGAATGGTAGGACATAAATGGGACTCCACAGGAACCAGGCTCCACATAAGATAAGCACATGGTGAAAATTAAGATAACAATTTATTCTAGATATTTTGATTTTTGCGTTAAATCATTTATTCCACATTAAATTCCAACTGTGTCTCTTGAATTTTATGCTTTCAGATGAGAGTCTTCTCTACCTAACCATAATTATTCATTAGCGTATGCCAGCATATTCGTGCAAGTATTATGATCATGTGCATTCTTCTTAGCACTCTTCCTTGTATTCTTTTGTTCCTTCTGGCTTTACTGAGCTATAACTGCTCTTGATTTTTAATTTTTCTGCAGAGCATGATTGGTCGAAATATGTTGGAGTTTCAACTTAGAAGGATTGGTGTTTTTAGTGCTGATGAAACTATTAGCACACATCCAAATTTTGATGAAAGATTTAAAATTTGTGAGTATTTTCATAAATTATATCAATTTTTTGTATATTCTGGGTTGGTTACATTGTCTTCATGGTTATTGGTAGCCATGTGAAATTTACCGTAATTTCTTAGAACGTGACAGTGTTTTCCATTTTTTTTTTTTTTTAAACATTTTAGTGTGGGCTAATCATGGGGATGAGATCAGCATCCAGTATTCTGGTACTCCTGCTTTGAAAGGAGATTTTGTCAGGTAATTTTTAGCATATTCGTGCACAACGCATTTGTTTGCTTGCATCAGAAAATGTTAGCCAAAATTGAAGGTTATTGATGAAATGAGTTTTAAACTTTTTTCTTTTTTTATTTTATTTTTATTTTTATTTTTTTATCGTTTTTAGTTTACAACTACGTCATGCTAATGTCATGTTTGGTGCTAAAATTGATGTGTCAGTGGACCTTTTTCCACTAGTGGAACTGTTCTAGCAATCAGCCCATTTTATCTTTCTAGGGTGTGCAGATTGTTCTGTTGGATCTCCACGTCTTATTATATCTCACTATTGTTTGGCATCAGCCCTGTAAATCAATATCAGAACTTGCTGATTCATAAGACTATCATATTTAAGATATAAACAAAATTGGAGCATTAACTGGCAATTGTTATATTACACCCATGCCATGTGCCTCAACTTCGCTGACATGTATCACCAGTACAATTTAGCTTATGATTTCTAGTTTTCTGTCTTTTCCAGGTTTTTTTGGGGGTTTTTAGTTCATTATATTGCATATCATTGCATTTTAGAAGATATTGATAGCGCATAGTCTTCCAGTATCAAGACCAATGCTGTTAACTTAAAAACATGGATCTTTAGATTTATGAAGGATCTAGGACAAATTTGTACATCTTAGCATGGGTTTTGGTTTGAATATCTTCTTTGTGCATTTTGTTATTGACATTTAGTTAATATTTCTTGTATATGTCACTTTCTAAATGGATCTTTATACCCCTGCTTCAATATTAAGTAGTTAGCTCTTAGATGATGATGGTTGAGTTTTTGGTAACTTGAAAGCAGAACTGAAATGTTTAATGGAAACTTGTATTTATCTTTATGCAATGTCCTTGTTTGATTGAATTTGTAGATGTGGCCAGCGGACAATGCAAGGTATTCTTAATGATGGCCGGAATGCCCTTGCTCGCTATTACCTGAATAATTTTTGTGATGGGACAAAACAGGTTGGTATGCTTCATATCTTTAATCATGTTAGTTAAAAGTCAGAATGCATCAAGGTTTTTTTCTTTTGCAAGTCAGAATGCATCAAGGTTCTGTTGAGCATTGTTTTAATGAAATGTCTATTTATATGATAATCTATTTGTGCGTGTACAAGTAAATGAATAATTATCCAGTGATTATCGTACAGCTAATCTTATTTCTTCAAAGTCTTCATTTGATAAACCTTTTACTGTAATATGTTTTACGTTCTATGTGAAGAGATTTCATTTTTTAACCAACTTCGATTTTTTTGTTGATCAGTATTTTATTTTTGTTAATTATACATTTCCCAATTAGATACTATTTTTTTGGTCTTTGCCTTGATTCTATATTTTTTATATTTTTTTCAATTTAATCCTGACAAATTTTCACCCCTTTGGCACAAACGTGAAGGATGCAATTGATCTCCTGCAAGGACATTACATTGTTTCTGTTACCCGTGACATGACTCCCACATCTAAGAAAGGAGGCCTTGAGACTGTTGCTGTAAGTATAATTTTAACAACTTAATTGTTTTGTAAATAAATTTTGAATGCTTCTCTCAGATTTTCTGGTAATTTTAATATAGAAGCTTGCAAGTAGGTGTACATATTTTGAGGTGCTGCATTTGTTATTTTAATATAGAAGCTTGCTTTGGTTATTTGTGCTTAGAGCATTATCTTTTACACTGCTGAGGCACAAGCCTAAAGAAGGGGGATTGCATTAGGTAGACACCCAGCACAATACCTTTAGTAGGACTTTTATGAACATGAACCATCAACAAAAATGAATCATATAGCTGGGTCAGTTGACTTTATTTTGTTTCTGGACACTGAGGCAACGTTTTTTATTTTAGCGAAAGTACCTGACTTATTAGGCAAAAGCTGATTTCAGTGTGATTATTTAATGATGCAATCAATGATTATTACTTTGCATCTCATATTTTCTTGTGTTCTTTTCATTTCATGCTATTATATGAAAAATAGCCATCTGGACTGGAAATAAGCTTTAAAACATTTTGCATTGATGAATAGGGTCAGAAAGAAGTCTAAGAACAACTTCTCACTGTACCTCTACGGCGATGATTTCTTGGTGTTCTTTTAAGTTCGTTAATCAAGTCAATTCATGATACTCAGATAACTGAAATGATCTGGGTGTCAGAACTCTAGTGAAAAGCAGAAAATTTCCAGCACCGTTGCTGGATGAGGATCCATCATATGTTTGTCACAGATTGATCAAGAGATGTGAGTTCCAGTGTTCCACCTTACGTCTGCCGGAACCTAGTTTGATTAACACATTAGTCCATTTTACTGGATCAAATTCTCTTACAAGTTCATACCATCGAGAGGTTGGATCCAATGCTACAGTCGGAATTAGTAAAAGTTTAGTATCTGTAATACCCATACATCAGTAAATTTAATCTGCATTAGACAATCAGTTATAGAACCATGTTAGAATATCCTCAATCCTCAACCTAAGGTGTATGGTTTGCTGGTTTGAGGGTGCTATTGCTAGGAGTCCAAAAATATCACGCTGTTATCCTGAATTTAAGGTGTATGTTTTATCCTCATTTGTTCTCGAGTCTTCCCCTCCGAGCAACCTGTGTAGGGGGGCTATTTTTTTTAACACCTCCATTAATTGTAATTTTTTTTTTTCCTGGCTGTCAGGGAAGAAAATAGTTTTAAAAGCCTCCGTAGTTTCTGAATTTTTTTTTCATTACATGTATTCTGCTATAATTCATGGACTTCCTTTTAGACACATTAATCTCACTGTTTCTTTCTGCAGTCCTTTCCGCTGGCTTTAGCATTGGTCATGACTGGGCTCTTACTTGCAACCATGTCGTTGAGGCAAGGTGAGTTGGCGGGGTACCAGTCTTTTCTATAGTATAGTAGCATCATTCCCTAATCTGATTTACCTTCGGCATATTACTTTAAACCAAAGTATTGTTTATTTGATGTTTGATAACGAGTTAGCGCGCTTTGTTCATTTTTCTACAGTTCGATATGATCTTTGGCACTTATTCTTTTCAATAATGTGGGCGAGCCTGAGTATGGGTATAGCAGCAGTTGTGAGGGCCAATGGCCGGATTTTCTGTAATCGGCCTCGTCTGCACAAACCTCGGTGTTGATCATTGGTTCAGATCGTTTCGGCCAGCATGGAATATTCTTTGCTGCTTATTATTCATTCTTTAATCTTATTCTTTGTAGTCCACGTATTTTTTACTTGTCCATGGGTCAGATTCAAAAGTTTGATGATGGGCAATTCGCGCTATGCTCCTTTTTGTATCAACAGATTAATTTTCCGGCTCATTCAAGTCACGTTTAGTGGTACTTTACAGGAATGCTGTTTATAGATGCAATTGTAATTGTCAAGTATATTCAAAAATCGTGTTTATTATAAAATTTAAAATTTTGATTTGAATCTCACTTTCGACATGATGACAAAAGATATGTCCGGCTTTCTGGAGAATTTTGCCATTAGGGTTTTCAATCTTGTTGGGAGATTGGAACTTTCAGTTCTCAGGTTGGCTCCACATGCTGAAGTGAATAATATGATTGTAAGAGGAAGATTTTCTAGGGCTAAGCTGTCATGGATTCTAATACTGCATGTCTTTAATATAATGATTGTGAATTCTCTCACAATCTCAGGGGAGGGAATTCATTATAATAATAAAAAAAAATTTTAAAAAAAAAGGAAAAAAAGAAAGTAAAAAAGAAAAGAAAAAGAAGCTACTCTTAACAACTTTTACATCTATACTACGGAGAAAGTATATAATACCTTTAAGTAGGATATATCATCTATGTTACCCATGTTGACCCACCTCTATGTAACATCACTTATATTTAATTTCCTTCAAATTTATCAAAATATTATATAACAAAGAATTAATTAAATAATTAAATATATATTGAGGTTGAAAAAAAAATTTTGATTTAAAAAATTAAATAATTGACCTTAAGAATGACTTCCTTATGTAAGAAAGCAGAGTCATTAGTTGGGATACATTGGGATGCCGAGTATTTTTGACCCCCATCTTGGTTCATGCGGTAAAAGTGCTCATTTGATCAATTTTTTTTAAAGGATTTACAAAATTTCTTAAACTATCTAATGGTTTTTGCAATCTCTTAGTTATTATTATTATTATTATGTATGACTTTTTGTGAGTAAATTTGATTATATAGAATGGTTTATTTCTCTCATGTTCGGCGCCAAGGTAATCGGGTGGCTCATGCTTTAACTGCTCTTTCACATCCTGAGCTTGGATTGGATCAATTTCTGCCAGCTCTTCCCTCTTCCAGTGTGCCTTTTGCTATGGAGGATGTGGAGTGTTAGTTGTGTTGTGTGGTTTATGTTTCTTTTGTCTTGGATCAATTTCTGCCAGCTCTTCCCTCTTCCATTGTGCCTTTTGCTATGGAGGATGTGGAGTGTTAGTTGTGTTGTGTGGTTTACGTTTCTTTTGTTTTTTGCTATGGAGGATGTGGAGTGTTAGTTGTGTTGTGTGGTTTACGTTTCGTTTGTCTTGTCGTCTTTGCCAAAAAAAAAAAAGAAAAAAAAAAGAAAAAGAAAAAGGAAAAAAAAGAGCCAAATAAAAGTGATATCTTATACTTCTCTCTTATTTTTGGTACCTATATCAAACTTTTAATCCTTTTCTACCTTTTAGATGTCATATCTGTACTTCTCCCTTGTACTGTAACAGTTTTTTAAAAAAGAACCTAAACTATAAAACTAGAAAAGAAACAAAAAAAATTAAAAAGTTGACAGACAATGCATTTTGTAATTCAGACGGGTCATGAGGGTACATCCTTAAAAAAAATAATAAAATAAATAAATAAATCTCGAATCCCAGTTTTATAATTATTTAATCTACATCTAGCAAAACAAAATATATATATATACACACACACACACACACACTTCCAATAACAAGAATAGCTACATTTTCCAACAAATAGCCTGGTATTGCAAAACAAGTTTACTGAAAACTAGTCAAATGACGGATGAAATTTGTAATTCTGTTCACAAATGATTATATTAAAATCACGGTATAGTGTCAGCAACACAATCATTGCATGTTACAAATGGCAACAGCCAGTACAAAATTTGTGAAGAAAGAAGAAAAAAGGGAAGGAAAAAAGATTGTAAGAAGAAGTTGAAACAAAAATTTGATAATAATAACCAAAAAAAAAAACACTTTGATCGACGAAACATGCACATTGTTGAATCCAATCTATCAGCTTACCATGTTCAATGTGATGTTTGATATCTTCCGGCTCCTTTTCCAACGCCATGGTAGCTTCGGTGAAGTGGAGAACGGTGTCGATTAGGCGGTTGTTGTCCAAGGCTTCGATGACCTGTAGATTTGGAGGTGTTAATTCTTGATTCTTTCGGTTTTTCCTTCATAGCTTCGATCCTTTCCAACACCTCCACAACTTCTTTCATGGAGGGCCGGTTTTTAGGCTCCGCTTCCAGGCATTTTAGCGTGAGTTGTGCGGCCTCCAATGCCGCCTTGGTAGAATACTGACCTTCTATACGTACGTCCATAATGGATTTTAGCTTCCGTTTTTGAGAAAGAAGAGGCCTCGTCCACTCAACCAAATTTTGCTGCCCACTGGGGCGTTTGGTATCGAGTGCCCGCATACCCGTCAGCACCTCCAACAGCACAACACCGAAACCGTACACGTCGCTCTTTACATACAAATGACCTGTTGACAATGATAGACTGATGTGTGAATTAAATCATTTTACCTATATTTCATTTTTCTATTTTGATTGTGTGCGCGCGTGTTTGTGTTGTTGTCGTGGTCGAGGTCATTTCCAAACACATTTAGCGAAGGCTTCACAAGAATGGTTGTTTACCTGTTGCAATGTACTCTGGAGCAGCATAACCATATGTGCCCATAACTCGGGTTGTCACGTGTGAGTTTCCACCTGAAGGCCCCAATTTTGCTAAGCCAAAATCTGATATTTTTGCATTGTAGTTCTGTAAAAACAAGAAACATTAGACGAAGAAAAGCTTTGAGAACAATCATTACCCTATACCCATTTTATTTCTCTGAGTCTGTTTGTTATAAGTTATAACGGAAAATGGAAAGGGGGAGTACCAATGGTAATAGATGAGAAATGCATACATATAACTACGATATTGTTATATATATTAGGGAAAAGTGCCAAAAAAAAAAAAAAAAATCCCCGCCATATAAAAAATGTGCAAAAAAACACCCCTGTAGTTTAGTACGTGCACATAAATCCTGACATTTGAAAATACGTGCAAATTGCCCCCTAATATCTGTTGACAGTCCATTCCAAGTTTTCCTTTTCTTTCTTCCCCCTTTATTTATTTATTTATATTTATTTTTTATTTTTAAGATAGTTGCTATACGCTTAGCTTTCTTTTCCTTCTTAACAATCATCAAGGATACAAGAAAACTTAGCCTCAAACAAAAAGCTGTGATCATATAGAATCTTACCCCATCGAGCAGTATATTAGAAGCCTTGAAGTCTCTGTAAATAACATGTCCTTCCGAAGTATGCAAGAAAGCTAGGCCCCGTGCAGCACCAATGGCTATTTTGAGCCTTATGTCCCAAGAAAGTGGTTCAACTGCAGAACTCCCTGCAAAACCAAACAATCACGCAATTAATTCAATTTAACTGCGGACAAGAAAAGCTTTTGTTTTCTTTCGTTTTATTCTTCACTAAAGATCTTACGTCTGAAAAGATGGTTTTCCAAGCTTCCCTTCTGCATAAATTCGTATACAAGTAGAAGTTCTTTATCCTCCCAACAGTATCCCAACAGCTTAACAAGGTTCGGATGAGAAAGCCTCCCTAAGAAATTCACTTCGGACTGCATTTTCAAATGAAGAAGCAAAGTATTAGCTTCAATAGAAAGGATTTTATTGTGTGTACATCAAAAGAAACTGCTGATGGCCGGTTCCCAAACCAGTTCACTTAAATTGTGTATAAATTGGGATTAGACCATGATTGGTTTAATTGAAAGAATTGTACTATAAATACTTTATATATTTAGGCAAAATATACGTTTCATGAGAAAAGTAGTTAATCCATGAAGCATAGCAGATGCAAGAAACTTCAATCAGACCAAGTACTTTCAGCTGGGCCAACCACTAAAAATATTGCCAATTATGCAGTCCATAGCGCATTCTGTCTTGGCGCAAGAATAAAAGGGCTAGCCCAATGCACGAGGCTCCCGCCATTGTAGGGTCTAGGGAGGGTCAGATGCACACAGCCTTTACCTCCGCATGAAGAGGCTTTTTTCCGGTTTTGAACCAGAAGCAAATTACAAATTCAAGCATGGTCTTTGAAGGAGGACAGTATAAAGCTCTAAATGAGTCCTATCAAGGAAAGGTATCACAAAGATTTTTAAGCGTTTGAAATTCAGATCAGTCAAAATATTGATATGCCTGTGAGCTATATATCCCCTAATAGGCTTTGCAGCTATAAAAACCATATAACCAGCCAGCAGAGGGTGATCACAACTCTGCATCTTGGTACCACAAAAATTTAAACATGCATATTAAACAGTAGAAATATCCCGCAGATCCTAAAAGTCCATGTGAATTATTAGAGATTCAAACTTATTTTGCATGCCTAGACCCGTAAACTCATTATTTCTCAGTTTTCATAAAACTTAAAAGTCCTCCAAAAACAAGGATCATTAGGAAGAGCATGAAACCAAAAACAATCAGAGACTCGAATTCAAGCCACTGGGTGAGAATTCGTTTCGTTTTAAAATTTACAAATAGAAGATAAAACATCCAAATACAAGAATCATGAGGCAAAAAATAAAACCGAAAGCAATCATAGGCTCGAATTCAAGCAGCTGAATTAATGTAGTGCACTTGTGCATTGCAAGCCACGTACTTGTTGTCTTGCTAAGCAAATTGAGTTGAAGATCTTTGGAAAAAGCCAGAAAGACGCATACTTAAAAGAACATTACAGCAGAGTACAGAAAGCCCTCCACAGACATATGTAAAGCAAACTCAAAGATGATTTGATAAACATGTATAGAAAGTAGACACAATATTGACATTTAACATCAGAAATTGCTTTTAAAATACAGTGGCCTTGACCTAATCGAGGTCCCCCATCTGCCAAAGGTATGCGGCATATGCCCATATCTGATGATACAAAAATGACAAAAGCTACACATATACACACACAGAGATCTTACTCGCATTTTGAGTGCTAGTCGCCATATAGCAAATTTTACTACAAACTGTCTTGAGATCTTTAACAAGTTTGGCAACTGCAATTTTAAGTTCAGTATACTTATGAAATTAGCAACAAACTATTCACTATAAAATCCTTCAACAAAAATCAAGTACTAAACGTGAAAAGATGAAATTTGATACAATCACCTTTTCACCATAAAACCAACTTGAAAAGACAGCCGACCCCATTTGTTTGGGATAAAAAGCAAGGATGACGATGAACTGCCTCGATAAAACAGACTCATTATTTTTATATTGGTCACCTAAAAGCACAAAATAGGTAAGCTAATACTGCACAGGAGCACATTTGCCACTCTAATCAATGGTAAGGAATGAGAGTATTGATCCATTTGTAAACACAGACAACTTCCAAATTAGAAAAAAAAAAAAAAACACTTCTAGTACTAATTAGTATTGCTATAAATATTATTTTGTTATCATTGTCGTTGTTGTTGTGTGAAGGGTGTGATAAATGAGGACTATGTTCTTCCTTTAAAAACTCAACCAAACAAAGAAAATAAACATCAACAATAGCCACTAAATAGTAGCACCAGTACCTGCCATTCTTCAAAGCCCTGCATACTTTCAGGGTTTAATTTCTTGATTGCGACAACCATTCCGGTGCCAAATTTGGCTGGAGCAAGTGTATGCTCATCAACCCACCCTTTAAACACAGTGCCAAAACCTCCCACACCCAACACTGTATCTGACTTGAAATTTCTTGTGGCACTCTTCAAATCCGCAAAACTGTATATCCTCAAGTTTGGCGTCGGCAATATTTCTCCGGTCGACAACGTCTCCTCGCTCACACTCACCGCTGCCGAAAACCGGCTTTGACCGGCACTGCTGCTTGTAGCCGAAAGTCCGGCACCGTTGCTGTAAAAACTCGAATTCCCTGAATCATATACACAAAGAAAACCATCAATTGCTCAGGGGGTTTTGTACTTTGTAGTTTGTACTCAAATCAAGTAAAGAACAGTGACACTGGTGATGGGTTTTTCCTGAATTGTAAAAAAGGACCAACATTTGTGATAACCTAGTCCAAAAATCAAGCAGATTGTGATCACAAAATCAACAATATAGAGAAAACCATGTTGTGATTTTGCAAGAAAATAACACATAATTAGCACAAAAGGAATCAACACAGCTAAAAAACCAAGAAATAGTAATCAGTGTGTGTGTGTGTAAAGTCAAACAGATTGTAATCTCAAAATCAACAAAATAGAGAGAACCCATGTGGTAATTTTGCTAGAAAATAACACATAATCGACACAAAATGAATTAACAAAGCTAAAAACCCAGAACAAGTAATCACTGTGTGTTTTTGTGTGTGTATATAGATTTTCTTGGTGTTTGTACCTGTTGTAGTTGAAGAAGGTCTAGTGGTGGAGCTGGGGTTAGAGGCACTTGGATTAGGTTCACCGGGCTGAGATCCAAAGCAATTGCCCATATTAAACTCTGTAACTCAATTGAAACAACTTAGCTCACTAACATTGAAATGGGTATGTTTAGATCAAAAACAATCTAAGTTTCAGAAATCAAAGAGAGAGAAAAGAAACAATGAAATTGTTTGGTATTGTTTGTTTTGTTATGGAAAAGGGAGACTCTTCCTATGTTGTTGGACTTTTCTATGTGTGTTTAGAGTCTATAAACTTTCCTTGAAACCTCTTCGCTATTTCTTGGTTTGTGTCTATTGTTTGCTTTCTTTTTTTTCTGCGTCTTGTCTCCATTTTATACGCATCACTTTTATTTTTATTTATTTTTCACTGTGTGAGTCACATGGTTAGTGAGCCGCAATTTGGGAACTGATTGACCTTTTTATTGCAAGTCAACGACCGTGTCAAGAACAAACTCCCAAACCGCGCATAGATCATTAATCAAGGGCGTGTGGAAAAAGTGATTAATGGATCATAGCCGTAATTAATCACCGGCCTTTTGTGGTCGCCAATCTTCATTTTATTATCCATTGTTTTTTGAGTTGATATAATCGTCTGATTATCTAAGTACTTATATATATATATATTAAAAATAATAAGTATTTTGAGAATAAGACATTTTTTATTCATTTAAATGTAGTTGGATGTGTCTAATTTCAGACACATTTTGTACTAATTTTTATTTGTTTCTTGAACTATTTATATATATATATTTTTCCTAAACATTTATATATATATATGAAAAATAATAAATAATTCAAGAATCTAAAACGTATTACTTATCTGTGATATTTTTCATTCATATAAAAGTAGTCGAATGTGTCTGAATTTTAACATTTATATCACAATCATATATACATCCGAGTAATGATAGGGAGTTCGATAATTAAACAAATCTAACTAATTTTATGTGAGTAGGGAGCTGACGTCATCATGATGTCATTAATATTTTTCATAAATAACGATATTAACTCCTACTTACATAAATATATATATATATATATATATATATATATATATTTATTGAATGTATGTGAACATTTTGATCTGAATTTTGTGGGATTCTAAGAAGTGGAGATATATAAAATAGGAAAGGGCTCAAATCTTCTGCTGTGAGTTACCCTGCAGTCCCCTGCTGTGAGCTGATGAAAGGCCTTAGTTTGGCCACGTGTGCTTCAGTTTGTAATATGTCTATGGGCTCCACTAAAATGGTGCAAAACGCATTATTCCGTTAAATCTGCCTTCCGTTAAACATCCATCTCTCGGCATCTCTGAAAAAGCCCAAAAGAGCCGGCTCTACAAATTAATTGAGCCGTCTTCAAAAAATTGGGTTGAGCCGTCTCCACATTTCTTCTTGAGCCGGCTGTCCATTATTTTTTTTTTCTTTTATTTTTTTTTTTTTTTTGCTTGGCAAGGAGCCGGCTCTAAAAATTCTGATCACAGGAACTCTGATCACCTTCACCATCAAAATAAGCTATTGACACAGTTCTGTAAAACTAATTTCACAGTAAAACTAATTTGACACCTAAATTTAACATTTTTTAATTCTTTCATTTTTCATCTGTTAGTGTAAATTATGATATTTTTCTACTTAAAATTGACATTGGTTAAGCATTCTAGCATATTTGAAATGTTGGATAATTGTAGGATTTTTTTCTATAATTTTCAATAATCATTCTAGTGAATGTAAAATCTTATATAATTGTTTTTTTTAACTGAGTTGGCTTCATTAGGTACCAATTTGTTATCCAAATATTTTTTCTTCTCATGTATGCGGCAATTACGCATTTCACAGGTTATTATGTGACATTTATGAGAAAAAATACATTGTGAAGTTTAATAAATAGGGACACTGATTACCTTCACCATCAAAATAAGCTATTTACACAGTTCTACTAAACTAATTTCACACCTCTGCAAAACTAATATCACACCTAAATTTAACATTTTTTAATTCTTTCATTTGTCATCCATTAGTGTAAATTATGATTTTTTTTTACTTGAAATTGACATTGGTTAAGCATTCTAGCGTATTTGAAATATAGCGTAATTGTAAGATTTTCTTCAATAATCTTCAATAACCATTCTAGTGAATGTAAAATCTTCCGTAATTGTTTTTTTTTTTTTAACTGAGTTGGCTTCATTACGTACCAATGTATTATCCAAATATTTTGTCTTCTCATGTATGCGGCAATTACACATTTCACAGGTTATTATGTCACATTTCTGAGAAAAAATACATTGTGAAGTTTAATAAGTAGGGACACTGATCACCTTCACCATCAAAATAAGCTATTCACACAGTTCTATAAAACTAATTTCACACCTCTGCAAAACTAATTTCACACCTAAATTTAACATTTTTTAATTCTTTCATTTGTCATCTGTTAGTGTAAATTATAATATTTATTTACTTGGAATTGACATTGGTTAAGCATTATAGTGTATTTGAAATATTGGATAATTGTAGGATTTTCTTCTATAATCTTCAATAACCATTCTAGTGAATGTAAAATCTTCCATAATTATTTTTTTTTAACTGAGTTGGCTTCATTAGGTACCAACGTGTTATCCAAATATTTTGTCTTCTCATGTATGCGGCAATTACGCATTTCACAGGTTATTATGTGATATTTATGAGGAAAAAAACATTGTGAAGTTTAATAAGTAAGGACACTGATCACCTTCACCATCAAAATAAGTTATTCACACAGTTCTGTAAAACTAATTTCACACCTCTGCAAAACTAATTTCACACCTAAATTTAACATTTTTTAATACTTTCATTTGTCATTTGTTAGTGTAAATTATGATTTTTTTTTTACTTGAAATTGACATTGGTTAAGCATTCTAACGTATTTAAAATCTTCGATAATTGTAGGATTTTCTTCTATAATCTTCAATAACCATTCTAGTGAATGTAAAATCTTGTATAATTGTTTTTTTTTTAACTGAGTTGGCTTCATTAGGTACCAATGTGTTGTCCAAATATTTTGTCTTCTCATGTATGCGGCAATTACACATTTCACAGGTTATTATGTCACATTTATGAGAAAAAATACATTGTGAAGTTTAACAAGTAGGGACACTGATCATCTTCACCATCAAAATAAACTATATATACAGCTCTGCAAAACTAATTTCACACCTAAATTTAACATTTTTTAATTCTTTCATTTGTCATCCGTTATTGTAAATTATGAATTTTTTTTTCTTGAAATTGACATTAGTTAAGCATTCTAGCGTATTTGAAATCTTGATTAATTGTAGGATTTTCTTCTATAATCTTCAATAACCATTGTAGTGAATGTAAAATCTTCCATAATTGTTTTTTTTTTTTAACTGAGTTGGCTTCATTAGTTACCAATGTGTTATCCAAATATTTTGTCTTCTCATGTATGCGGCAATTACACATTTCACAGGCTATTATGTCACATTTATGAGAAAAAATACATTGTGAAGTTTAATAAGTAGGGACATTGATCACCTTCACCATCAAAATAAGCTATTCACACAGTTCTGTAAAACTAATTTCACACCTCTGCAAAACTAATTTCACACCTAAATTTAACATTTTTTAATTCTTTCATTTGTCATCCGTTAGTGTAAATTATGATTTTTTTTACTTGAAATTGATATTAGTTAAGCATTCTAGCGTATTTGAAATCTTGGTTAATTGTAGGATTTTCTTCTATAATCTTCAATAACCATTCTAGTGAATGTAAAATCTTCCATAATTGTTTTTTTTTAACTGAGTTGGCTTCATTAGATACCAAAGTGTTATCCAAATATTTTGTCTTCTCATGTATGCGGCAATTACACATTTCACATGTTATTATGTCATATTTATGAGAAAAAATACATTGTGAAGTTTAATAAGTAGGGACACTGATCACCTTCACCATCAAAATAAGTTATTCACACAGTTCTAACAAACTAATTTCACACCTTTGCCAAACTAATTTCACACCTAAATTTAACAGCTCTTGGGATTTAATGGAGCTGGCTCTTGAAGTTCAATGGAGCCGGCTCTAAGTTGTTGAGCCGACTCTTTGAGTTGGCAGCCGGCTCATAATAAATATGGAGCCGGCTCTCAGAATCTTTAGAGCCGGCTCCTTGCCAAGCAAAAATAAATAAAAATGAAAGAAAAAAAAAAATAATGGACAGCCGGCTCAAGAAGAAATGTGGAGACGGCTCAACCCAATTTTTTGGAGACGGCTCAATTAATTTGTAGAGCCGGCTCTTTTGGGCTTTTCCAGAGATGCCGAGAGATGGATGTTTAACGGAAGGCAGATTTAACAGAATAATGCGTTTTGCACCATTTTAGTGGAGCCCACAGACATATTACAAACTGAAGCACACGTGGCCAAACTAAGACCTTTCATCAGCTCACAGCAGGGGACTGCAGGGTAACTCACAGCAGGGGATTTGAGCTCGCAAACAAAGGTTGTTGGGAGGATTAATAAATTTGATACATATGTAAGTTTTAGTATTATAAGCAAAAAGTGGATTATTCTTATAGAGTTTGAACCTAGGACAATCCGGACATTTTTATCATTGTACCAGGCGACTTTACTCCGTTTATTATATGATATATGAATTTAAAATTTTACAGTGTTCGAGACTGTTTTTGGAGTTCCAAAATCATAGGTCAAAATTAGAAATTATCTCTAGAAAATTTGGATATCTTTATTTCTTTTTTAGAGCATTGCTAGTACTAAACTACCTAGAAGATTTTTGTTTCTTTTTTTAGAGTAATGCTGTAATTAGAAACTTAATCTAACACTAATTTTGTTTCTCATATGGGTATTGAGATTGCAAATGGACTAAATTGGAAGTTTATTTGGTTTTAAATTGACTAAATTGCAAATGAAGATTTTTATGTTCATATGATTATTTAAGCACAACTAGGTTAAATTTGAACTTGTAAGAGCATCTCCAACCGTTATGTATATTTTTTTGTGTAAATTTGACGTGTTATGATGGATTTACACAAAAATTTTGAATTATTTAATTTTAACTCCAACGATTGTTTTATACATTTTGTGTAAAAATATATCTTCCAATTACAACTAACCATGTGTCATGCGAGGATCCCACGTAACTTTTACAAACCTACTTAGTATTTGGTTGATTCTTTAATAGAATGAGAAAGAGGGATGAGAAAGGAAATATGTTGATCTGACAATGTAAAAAGGTTGTATACAGTACACAATCCTTTTACACATTGTTGATGTGACAATGTATCTTAACAGACTACTGAAGATGGAAAAAATTTACACATCATAGGTGACAGTA